CCCTGGCTCCTGAGTTAGCAATTTATTGGAAAAAAATTTTCACGGGCTCGTGAGTGTTTATCACGAATACCCGAGAGTTGGGTTTGAGCTAAATGAAGCTTAGGTGGACGGGATATACCCTCTTAAAATTACAGTCTTCTAGCTTCTCAGATCCCCGAGTTATGAACGTACCCGAAAAAAATTTCGGCGCGCTCGTACGCGGGTACCACGCTTACCCCGGGTCTGGGTTTGAACTCACTAATAGTCACTTGAAAGGGAAACATCCCCCTAAGATTCCAGCTTTCTAGCTTCTCAGATCCCCGAGTTATGAACTCACCCGAAAAAAATTTTGGCGGGCTCGTACACGGGTACCACGTGGGTGATAGCGCCCATTTTTGGAATTGGGGCCCGTGCGTGCATGTATATTAAGTTCCCAAAGTTTCAGCCCTGTGGCTTTTGTGGGTCTTGAGATGAAAAACCGTGAGAGACGTCTACACGGACGCACAGACACACACACACACACACATAAACAACCTCTCGTCAATATGAGTTTTCTGCATTGCATATCTGCAAAAAAACGCATAAAAACGAAAAACTGCATCCACAGAACATCAAGCTGACTGCTAATGCCACGGTTTTCTAGAAGAGTACCATGAAATACTGAACTCTATAACAGTGAATATTACTCACCAACAGATTTCAACTGTTCGAGCATTCGTGAGCAAGCATTCTGTTTCGCAATCTTCTTGCTACTTCCCTCGCCATCCGCCGAGATTACTTTATCATCCGAGATCAGGCTGCACCGTAGCACATAATGTCTGTCGTGCGCCGGCCCCTCTTCTTTAACAACCTACAAATTTCGCATTCAATCCATCAAATTAAGGAAAAAGCGATGGAGGGCAATGTCTCCCACAAAGTACCGGAAGTAACACACATTTCCGTGAGAAATGTGAGTTCAGGCACTGGAAACGTATGGTTCTAAGTCCGAAAAAAAGGAAATTTTGATTATAAATCCAGAATCAATCGCAAAAACTAGAATGCTAGAAGTTTCATGATCCGCCAAAACTTACACCATCACCTGGGCAAAAAATAACAAACTAAGCTCTATCCTCATCGAGAGAAGTATTCTTATAAACATACGAACTGCCGACTCTTATAATTCTATAAAAGCTAAGGTTGTTGGTAGCCTTCTCATGCCAGGATTGCTTACAAGCCATCAGCCAGTCCACTCTTACTACCTCAGTCAGGCTGATTTTTTCAAAGTATCGTTTAAAAAAAACATCGTATAACTCATTTCTAATTTATTGATCCTCGCTAGTATCATCGCTTAAAAGAAAAGTTGAAAATTAAATTAATATAAAAACTTACAAGAAATTCAACATTCATACGCATGTATAAAGCACACTCATGTATTTGTGAGATCGATGACTTCGGTTTGCCATGTCGAGTGACTGTAACAACCGATTTGGAAATTTCAGAACCGGCTCCTTGAATCTCGGCTCCCAGCACTAAACAGAACCAAAATATTACAATATCATGCTGCTATTCGCAGTACAAATTCAGCTTACGACTTGTAATTCTCTGCCCTGTTCTAATATTTTTTCGTATTCGATATCGAAAATATCACAAACTGCACATAAGGATTTTGAAAGCTTCAGTGGGCTACGATTCCAGTTTTCTTGCTCCTTTACGCTTACGTTTAACGTGAATATGTGGATGCGCTAGGAAACAACGGCACACGGCCGAAGTCTCACAGTGGATAAATTGTGTAGCCCTTCCAATTTCCCTGTTCACACTTAAACTACTGCAAGGCACAGCATTAAATCCTAAAAAATTACCATTTTTTACACCATTCGGTGCTTCGTTTTTCATTCGTTTCTCCAGCGCAGCCAAATCTGGCCCAAAATAAAAAAGAGCCTGAAAAAGTGTACTGTGTATGCAAAAATTTGATCCGGAAGTTTACTGGCAAAACTCTGACTCAGATTTTCTTTCATTTCAAGAAATTTAGTGGTGTTGTGGAATTCTCATCAACTCGCCGTCCTTCTGTGTGTAACTTTCGCCTGAAGTTTGTGGCGCATATTTATTTTCAGAAAAGACAGATGTAATTATCAATTTTTTCCAAGCCAGTATGTCGCTACGCAAGCTGAATATATATAAATCCTTCTTAAATGCTAGGAAAAATCGCTTTAACACCCCTCCTGGTTAAAATTTGTACGGTCTTTTGTCATGTTTCACAAATGCCTAGAGCGCTGCATGATATTCTGCTGATTTTCAGGAAGAGATGCGTCATGAGTTCACTTCCTGACTCAGATCAAAACTGTAAATTTCACCTAATTTTCGCCGAACATTATGCAACAGAGCCTGCTCAGGATGCTGGGGTTGTACGTCGGCTTGCCTCAACAATGTTCAGCGGCATTCTTACCTCCGAAGAGGCACCTGGGACGTCAATTTTGCGAATGGTTTTTCTATAGAAAATTTGGGAAAAAGCCTGCCTGAGTTGCAGCATCGTTTCTGGCCTTCTTACTCGTCATTCCTCTGCCAATAAATTCCGGAAAATCTTTGCCT